TGTTTCAAGGCGTGATGTTATGTTATGTTATGTTTCTTGGTGACTAAGAGGTAAGCTATAGAATTGTTAATACGCTTCACTTTAGTTAGGAAAGACATACTAAAAAAATGATATATGTATATCTCATTTCTGTTGATTTGAAAGTGATCTGTTGATATAATCAAAAACGCTATTGTGAACCACGCCATCTTAGAAATTCAGAGAACTGAAATAAAGCTAGAAATCCATTTCTACACCGAAAACTTTTGATCCATAAATAAAATGGTTAATAATTAAACTTCAGAATCAAATTAGTGCATAAGCAATCACTTGACTGTAAATACTGATTAAAATATATAAGGTGTAACAAATTTTAGCACAATATTTTAGTAGGTCAATTAGTATGTAATAAACATCATTTTTTTATGAAAAAATTTATCAAAACTTATCAATTATTTTTAATAATTCAATTATTCATTCATTATTTTCATTGCTTTTTATGCCATCCTGCAATATGTACCTATTCCTATGTACCTATTCGAAAAGCTCGGTCGTCGACCCGTAAGATAAACGTCCGCGCGCATCCATACGGCTGGCGTTATGCGTAAAAACACAACAACAGTTTTGCAAATGTGATGCTAAATTTAATTAAACATGTTGTTGTTTACATTTTTTTAGGTAAACATAATCCTTATCATGTACTATAACACCTGTTAAAATATTGTGCACTATTTTTGTTAGACCTTATATATTATTATGAACAACTGAATTAAAATAGGGTTTCATTAAATAGAATATGTAATTAATTGAATAGATACCTCAAGTTGTCGGTTGCAAGACACATAAGCCAGTCTACTTTGAATATCTGGTAAATTCGGCACCTTCACAGGCGTTGTAAATGGATTCCATCTGAAAATAGAGTTTCTCCATGTACCTCGTTCAATTTGAAAACAGTATGTAAATTGTCGTTACATTATATTTTTTGTATGGAAAATGTTACAATATTGGAAAAATGCTTTAGTTTTAATTTATATTAGTTAATAATAGTTAGTTTAGTTTAATCGCTTTTATAACTAGCTAAACTAAACGATTGCCCGTCCTTAAACGTAGCGAAGTACGTACACACGAATAGAACAGAGTCCATCGGACGGAGTACTTCGGATACGAATAGCAACTCTATGAATAATACATTAGGAATTAATCTTATCTCATCTCATGATTCATAAAATTTTTAAAGAATTCTGAGGGGACGGCGCGTACGCAGTCCCCACTACCAAAAATTACGCGTCCGAGTTATCCACATTAGGGATAATCGCAGGGGTCAACCTAGCCGCAGTGCAATGGAAAGGCCTCGCCCTGGGGGAACCGCCTTCTTGATCACGGTATCCCCTACGCCAGGTAAGTATGCTTTCTGCTGAGCGAGCCGCGAGGGGTCGTTCAACGGCGGAGAATCTTAACACCGCGATTCAGAAAATGACGTCACGGCATAGTGTCATCTGTCGGTGAAATTGTGAAACTAAAACGACGCTGTGACCCTGAATTATGTATTACGAGTAACGCCATCTGGCGAATAGTTTGTGAACTGAACTGACAAGTTAAACATGGCGGCTTCCCGCCATTATTTAAATACCTACACGAAAATTAGTAGCATTATTTTAACTATATATAAGATGGCATATATGAAATAGTAGAATACGAGCAAAAACAGATGAATACCTACTTGTAAATGCCTACTAACACAATTTTAAAGAGTTAAATATAGTGAAAAATGTTAGAAATTAACACAATTGCTCGACTATTTATTTCCGTCCTCACCTCTTCCACAGAAGCCACCAGCCAGATAAGTCATCACCATAGTTGGTGAGGTCCGTGTCGTCCTGGGAGCCCACGTCAATGGCCAAGATGTGTTTAGCGCCTAAAGATCTCATCACGTCCGCTGTAATATTGCAATTAAACATATTATAGACATTTTCTTACTGATATTTAAAGGTGATTTTAAAATTGTTCTACAGAACATTTAATTAAAGTATAATATGAAATACAAGATCAGTAATAGGTTCTTTAGAATATTTTACTAATTCTGCACATTATAGACAAATAAAACAATTTTTTAAATCTCTGATGTTAATCTTATTGAATACTTACCCTTTTCAAATCCTTTCTCCAATTTTAAGACACTAATGTGCCCAGATGATAATTATATTGTTCTTTTTGACAGACAACCCATAGTATAATATTGTAACATATTATTATCATGTCAGTTTAGGGAGCCTTTAGCATACCATTTTTAAACCGTTACCATTATAGAAATACTATTTTTAAACATAAAGTAATAAAAAATAATAATAATAATGCTTTACCAGGTACATTGTTCACGTAGCACCCATCAAGAAGTAGATGCCCATCCATGGGATCGCAAATTGGAGGGAAGATGCCGGCTATACTCATAGACGCTCGGCAATACCTCCATAGGACACCTGACGAAACTCCTCCGTAAACGATCGGGCTAAACCGGGACCGTTGCCATTACTTACCTTCGACTGCTAAACTGAGTGACCATATACGTCAAAACGAAGATTTTTTTATGAATTTTCGGTATTTTGGAAAATTAGTATATGTGAGATTTTTGTTTATTTAGTATGAAAGTTTTAAGCTGATTGACAGTGAAAGAAATGCGTGAAAAGGATTTTTTCGTGAAAGACAGATGTAAGCTAGTTTTGAGGTTAGATTTAGAAGGCTATCTAAACTATTCCCACTAACTATTGAGAGGAAATTCTACAGAAAAGTATTTATAGTAACCCGCAACCGGTTTTTACGCCAACAATTTTTATACGCGTCATTTTATACAGTACAGTATGTCGTTAATTTGGACTGCTTGATATAAAACTTTCACACACAAACTTTATTTCTTTTTACACGATAAAATTTAAATATAAACAATTCACAGACTCTTCTGACAATATGTTCACTCAGCCTAACGTGTGTGCGTATCAGCCAATCAACCAATCGGAGCATACGGGCACGCAACACAGAGCTGTGATTGGTTTACCTGGGAGATTGTTGACGTAACCGCCGTCCAATAGGAGGTGGCCGTCTAGCGGGTCGCAGAGCGGCGGCATATACCCGCTGAGCGACATGGACGCGCGAATGTAACGCCAGAGGGAACCTACACACAAGGACACTGCTCACCCATCGGCCATCGTGCACTCGCGGGCTTAAGTTAAGTTACAACACAGTCCATGGATAGGAAATGAACGTGAATATTTTACCAACCCAAAGAACGTCTCAGTGTCGACGCGTCCGTGATATATCTATGATGAGAATAGACGCTACAGTACTACATGCACCATGCTACAACATAGACGCAGCCTGCTGCGGACAAACTACGGATGGAGAGTTATAGGGTAATGACAACTAAGAACCACACTCATGCATATACACGAAGATGAGATTGTGAGAAATGTATGATGATTTTGATACATACAAACTTATACACATCCAACCCGACATTATATGGACGATATATATAATAATAATAATACTTTTTTTAATGTATAAACTCCCAAAATTAGCGTTATTAGGTAAACCAATCACAAGCGCTTTTTTTTAAAGTAATGGCAACTTCCCAATGGCAAATGTCGGATTCGTAACGTTGTTAAAATAATAATAATTATAATATAATCAGTTTTAGAAGATCGTGAGTGTGGGGGGAGGGGTGGGATACAGATATATATTGTAACAAACACACTTTGACATCATACAGACATATAAATGCAAGTGAGTGTGGTTTGTAGACTGTAGCGGACAATGAGACAACGTTGCCTTGTGACGGGCGTGGGGTCAATGACATGAGCTCAAAATATTAGCAAGTACTTATGATTACCGCCATAGATACTGATCGTATGACGGTGGTAAGGTCCGCAAATAGCAAAGTGACGCGACTCTCAAACATTGCTCCACTAAAGCCGTGTACAGTGACTTTTTTAAATAGGGCGTTTATAAACGAACGATACGTTTGTTGACGTCACAGAATAACTTAGCGAGGGCTATTATTTTTGTACTCTGTAGATAGCGGTAGTGTCGAATAAAGTCCTGTCTGCTCAATCACTATAAGTATTTTTTATCAACAACAGATTGACGCTGTCAAGTGTCCAATATTGTTTTGGAAAATGACAATAGATTTAAATAGTCGTAAATTCAGTTACAATAACCCTCGCTACAGTTCATATATTATAGTTTTTCAGTATCGTACATTAATAAACGTCCAACACACTGCCCTTAAAATCTGGTCTGCAGATTATACGACAATTTAACACAATATCGATCAATATCAACATGCATCACATCGACACGAATATCTTATTATTCGGTTAAATAATGGCTCATACTGACGTATTTTAATGTTCATCGTTTCAGTTTGTTGCTACTACACATATTGTTGGTTTAATAAAGAGTAGTATAAACAAACTTTGATAATGAAGTATATGCATAAAAATATTTTAGCTGTAAATGAGTATACAATTTATATTCTTATCAATAACATAATACCAACCAATATTTATTCTCTAAAAGGGTTACATTTACATCACATTCTTTCCTGTGCTATGTTATTTAGAGCTTGTCTATAAATAGAGTAGAAAAACAAATTATATGGGATTGACGTAAATTTTGACACTTGTCAGTGTCATCCACATAAATTGAGTTTTCTATGACCTCGATAGACTAAGCGCTTAAGGGCCAATTTTCAATCGTCAGTTAATTCTTAACTGTATTATAAAATTGATATTCGACAGTTTTTAGTAGGGAGGAATTGTCAAATATTCAAATTATTCCTCTGATAAAATTTAACTCGTCGAGTACCGTCAATATAGACACAATTATAGAACAATAGGTTGCGGTCACCGGTGACCGCTTGGTGTTTGACAGTTTAAAGAACAATAGGTTGCGGTCACCGGTGACCGCTTGGTGTTTGACAGTTTAACTGAGCATTGAAAAATCGGCCCTAAGTGGCATTTATTAGGCTAAAGGCACAGCTGTTATGAGTCCAATGTAATAGAGCGCAAACTTATTTCACGGAACTCTGTTCTATAATAAAGAAAAACAATGAACCTTTCAGAATTTAGAAAAACTCTACAAAAAATATACATCTGATAACCCTTTCAAAGAATAAAAATCATGATATTATGTATTGATAATTTCCAATACAAATATATACACCAAGTAGTCGACAAAGCACACCAATGAACATTAAAATGCGTCAACAAAGCCATACCATATCAACAACCACAATCGCTTCTTACATACACAACAACAATATAAATAAAAAGCAATATAAACATAATTTGGGTTAGTAAAGTGCAAAATAAAGATTAAAAACAACAAAATTTTATTAAAAAAATATTTCCTATCCACGAAATGTGTTGTGTTATTGCATGAACTAATTATAATTCAAATATTTGTGAATATTTTAAGTTCCAAGTGCATTGAGACACACAATGATTGCGATCTGTTTGAAGCTTTGCACACAAATGTTTATTTAAAGTTGCTTTTGTTATTATTGTTTATGCTTTATTTAAAATAAATAGATTTTGAAAAATAAATTCCTTTACGTATTTGGATAACAATCGTGTCAGTATATAGTCCAAAATAAATCATAAAACAATCCAAACATTATAAAAACTTTAAATTAAAAAAATCTTCGTCATATTTTCAAACAAATTACTTATTTACAAAAGTTTACAGGCTCAACCGGAGCCTTTAACCATCGGGGTCGAAACTAATCGAGTCAACCCGAAAAAAAGTATCTAAAACCTATATGTATTTCACAAAATATCTTAGAATTGTTGTATAAAATCTAGATTTTTAATTATTATGGTAGAAACTTACCATGTCGATGTACTCTCATGCAACTGGAGCTGATGTCAGTGGTGACAGTGAAGTACGGAAGCCACAGGTCTTCGATGTGAACGTCTCCGAAGGTAGATCTGATGGTGGCGTTGAACTGTCTCCCGGAGAACATGGAGGTGGCTGGATAGGTCAGGTCTAGGAGCTGTTTGCCCCATTGTGTCATTTTCTGGAATATTTATGAAAGATGGATAGATTACCTAGAAAATAATAACAAATTCACATATGACCGAAACTGATAAATAATATTAAACGGATTTTTTGCATCGATCTCTCTTAAGGCAGAATCTAATGACTAAGACCATACTAATTCACAATACACAATCTCGTACAGTATTGATTTCGACTAGTTGGCAAGTCGGCAAGGCCAACTAGTCGAAATCAATACTTTTTCGAACTGTTAAAACAGCAGTTTTCTATGAATTTTGTACGAGATTGTGTATTGTGACGTCACGTCTTTTTAGCGTCAAACAGCATACTTATATCTTAAAAACTTGCTGGAGAAATACTTAAATTAAGTTGGTCATAAAATCAATTAGTGAATGTGGGTTTTTTTAAATATTTTATTGTATTGAACAGTCGAGATAATTTATTTTTGATTAAGGAAAGTATCCAATTATAAAACTAATGTCAAAAATAGGTCAGTTTTAATACTAATATTATATTTAACATTATTTCAGTATTTATATCGTTAGTATACACACCTGTGACCACTCTCTCGCTTTCTGCGTGACAGTAGTGATATTTCTCTCCATACACCATAGAGCTCCCATGAACGCTCCGATACTTACTCCACCCACCATGTCTATTGGGATACCGGCTTCCTGAAATTGGGATCATAGTATTTTAGACAAGCACTTATTCCTTACCTAAAGTGGTTTCTGTTTGTTTATCTTTTACAAAATGAACCGTTAGGAGTAAAGTTTTAAATGGAATAATGATATTTGTAAATTATGCTAATCACATGGAACGATTTTACTAAACACGTTGAGACATAACTGGCGGTTGCCCGCGATTTCGTTCGCGTGGAATAGTGTTTCACAGTTCCTCCCTCGTAGGTGATAGCGTAATAATATTCATGCAAAATTGTAAGTAAATCCATGTACCTAGTACTTTTTAAGTTTAGCCCGGACATACATACAGACAAACAGACAAAAACATCTATAAACCATATTATTAGCTTCGGTGCCGTAAGTAAATCACACAAGCAAAATAAATAACACCTTAGTCACTAATTATTATGTACTACACCTCTGTTCAGCAAATAAAGACATTTAAAGGCATTTGATAAGCATTCTTAAAAAAAAATCAATGCACAGTTTGCACTTTCCTACGATTTTATTATTTGTATAGATACAATGTTCGAAGTAGCAATACAGTGTGTTATTAGCATTTTCATTACACTAACGGTAAATTGTAGAAAATACCAAAAACTACATTTTTCCCATGAAACTCCATACAAAATGTATTGCTAACATAAAAACATCGCACTCTATTAACTTTTACATACGCACTAGCTTCAAAAACTACTCCAACAAACGGACAAACATATAAAACACTAAGGTGTCCCATGTACCTGTATGGCGCGCACCATCCCGACGTGCGCGGCGCCGCGCGCCCCGCCGCCGCCCAGCACGAGGCCGACGGAGGTGCCGGTGAGCCAGCGCGCCAGTCGGGAGAAGTCTGAGTGCACGCTCGCTTCCGACATCAGGACTTTGCTGTATAACTCGCTCTGGAGATTAAACACAGGACCATATATAACGATGTATATAATATATAGGGATATATATAAGGCATATATAAAGAGGAAATAAATACAGGAGAAAAATGTCGTTATTTTTTTAAACGGAGGTTCTCTGTTTGATCCGTTTTTATGTATGTTGACACCTAGTAAAATTCAATACTTTTATCGCAACGTCAAAAACGATATTGTTCTATGAATTTTATATGAAATACCATCTTATGACGTCATCATATTTTCGCGTCCAATAGCACACTTATATCTAAAGAAAACGATAGAATAAATAGAAAATTAAGTATATAGGCAAATCAATGAATGAAAGTGTGTAACTATTTTTCAATATTTATATGGACTGAAATATAAAAATACTTTATTTTTGACCCAGGAAACTACCCAATTGGCAGAAACGATTCCATGTGGTGTGCAGAAAAATGTTTGCTACACTTAAGAAAAGGTTTTATACAAACAGATCCAACTAAGAACCTCCTTTTTTGAAATCGGTTAAAATTTTCAATATCGACTAATGTTACTAGTTAGACTTAGAATAAAGTTTAAGTAAAGATTATGTACAAAAATTACAAAATATAATCAAAAAAGCCACTTACGATCCTATACTGGCTCTTCCTAGTGAACATGCGGTGTGGACAGCGCACGTGATGATGCTGACTGACCCAGGACCTCATGTTGAGCCAGTGGACCGTGCCGGCCGGCTGGGGGCCGCCCTCGCGGTGCAGGAGGACTAGCTCCTTCTGAGTACGTATCGCTAGGCGTTCTATTTCTTTTTCTATCTGGAATTCAGATTAAATGCACTATAAATAAAATATGATGAAGAATGTTTAACATATTATTATATGGTTCATAGGTAATGCTCAAAAAACAACAAAAAAAAATTTAAGTAACATCTATAACTTTTTTGCGCAAAAATTTTGCGCAATTATTGTATAAAACATTTACATGACAATTTAAGCATAATTTTTTTATTATATTCAAAATGCGAAAAATAACCGAACATCAAAAATCTATTATGCGCAACGAAACCAACATATTAATTTAAAAAATTAATCAAGCGCAACTTGCGCAAACTCGTAATAATTGTCTTCAATGCGCAACTTGCGCAAAGCATTTATTTCAATCAATCGTTAATTAGATACTTTTTGAAACGTCAAAATTTTAATTGTCCGTCCGTCTGTCTGTCTATTAATGAAGCTAGGCGCTCGTTCCAAAGAGTACGCAAATCACCTACATACGAGGTCAAGTACAAATAACAAACTTACCTTTCCAATACTCGGTTGTTTGTCTCCCAAAGCTACTATAAGAATACAATCAGCCTGACGAATGCAGCGCTGTGTCCACTGAGTGAGACTTGGGTCGCACTGGTATAGGGCCACCTGGAATTTAACAAATATGCTGTTATAACAAGGATAGGTAATAGGCTATTACATGCATTTTTGAAATGTATCTAAAATAAATTTTATACCCACCTCTAAAAATTAAAAATATTTTTGTTCTCGCGTTATGTACGAATATAAATTATTTATTTTAGTACAAATAAGTAAATACTTACTACTTACATATCATTACATAACATCACGCCCTTTATCCCCGAAGGGGTAGGTGGAGGTGCACATTACGGCACTTAATGCTACTCTACAATGTAACTATTCCACTATTCACTATTTAAAGTTATAGGGGTCCCATGTAATAGGGGAGCTTATTGCCATATACCGGGCACAATTCCAGACGCCGTGCTACTACTGAGATTTTTTTTAAAACCCAGTGATAATTTGCCCGACCCGAGAATCGAACCCGAGACCCCTTTTCCAGCAATCGCACTTGCGACCACTCGGCCAATGAGGCAGTTTGTACTTACTACTTCTTATTGAATAACATTTCACTAAATTGACACCCAAAACTGCTACTTGGCAAGTTTATTCTCATGCTCTTACCTTATGCTTATCCTCCTGCTGAGCTAGCCAGGAGCTGAGCCTGTACTCGTTGTTAGGATCCATGATGGTCAGACCGAGAAGTTTTCTGATTACATCAGAAGTCAGACGCACTGTAGGGCCTGGAAAAGATACAAACATATTTATTAGCAATTGTCATATCTGTCTTGTATTAAGAGATCTTTTTAAATGTCCTTCCGTAAATCACTGTCAAAAGTAATGGTCGAGTATTTTGTTGCTGAAATGAAAAACTTATGGCAGTCAATTAAAACGAAATAATGCATGATATCAATTCTACATATAAAAGGAAACGTAGAGACTTAGAGAAATAGGAAAACAAAGTATTATATTATTATTATTTAAAAAAAATGTTCCTCCAATACCACTGCAGACTGCTACCGCATAATTTGTTTTTGTTCAAAATAAAATCATTTATTTACATGACAATTTAAAAATGTGGGAGAACCATGCTTCGGCACGAATGGGTCGGCTCGACTGGAGTAATACCCCAGCCTTACAAAAATTGACGTGAATCAACGCTTGCGCTGTGTTTCGTGGTGTGAGTGAGGTTGGCAAAGACCAAATTATCCCCCTCCCCTTCCCCCCTATATCTCCAATCATTGAATCCCTAACAATCCTTAAATTCCTATTTCCCAAAAGGCCGGTAACGCATTTGTAACACCTCTGGTATTTGAGGTATCCACAGGCGACGCCGATTGCTTACCATCAGGTTATCCATCTGCTCGTTTATCGCCTTATCCCATAAAAAAAATTAAAAACTTGGTTTATTATTCAAAATAAATTGATCTGTCATTCATAGTATGTATTCCTATAAAACAGTAAATCTAAATACTAATTACTTACCTATAGCAGACAGAGAATGGTATAGCTCGTATGTGAAGGCAGTCAATGGTACGTCATCGCTGACTGGTACGACGGCCACGGTGGAGAAGTTGTGCTGGGAGGGGCGCGGTTCTATGGCGGCCGCGCCTCCTAGCCCGGCTGTTGGTTTCTGCCATGACCCTGGAAAATTAGGACAGGATTTTATGCTATGGGATTAAATGTGAATGAAAACACTTCGTATTTATATTTTTATTACGAATATTGTTTTCATTCATACACTGTCTTATCACTTGATCCGCAAGATTACATAATAAATAGGTTGTATTTTGGCCGGAGGGAGTGTCAGACTCTTCAAAGTCAAAGTCAAAGTTCTTCTCCTTCTCCTGCACGTCGAGCCGGAGCCCCGGTTACCCGTTAGGTTCTCCGCGACTATTTCTCATTGACTAATACTAAAACACTGCTCAATTTTCAATCACGCTTAAAAATAGTTATCTAGTAAATATAGTTGTCTAGAAAGAAAGAATTTCTTTTTTTGTAGTGATAGAACTAGCACTAGCACTAGTGACAGAGACGACACGATATTGAAATACAACGTAAAATTGAGTAGTCTTTTAGTATTCAGGTGTAAAACCGATAAATTCATAATGAACGTTGAAGGCGTCCTTCAACAGGACACTGTCAAAACTGGCTCTGGATACAACTCGAGACTGCCTCATCGGCCAAGTGGTCGCAAGTGCGACTGCCGGGCACAAGGTTTCGGGTTCGATTTCGGGTCCGGGCAAAGTATTACTAGGTTTTAAAAAAAAATCTCAGTAGTAGCACGGAATCTGAAATCGTGCCCGATATATGCCAATAATTTCCACCCCTATTACATGGGACTGATAACATAAATAGTGAAAAGTGGGTGTTATAATGTACAGTGGCATAATGTGCACCTCTGCCTAACCCTTCGGGGATAAAAGGCGTGATGGTGTGTGTTGTGTTATGTATAACTGGCATACACAATACCGTGCAAAACTATAATCATAAAGAAAAAAACCACTCACCCAAAATCCGATGTCCAAGCAGATTAATCAGTCTCGTCACCACAACAGGGAACCTCAGTTTAATAGCATTGAACAGACCTTCAGGTAGCTTGGCCAGCTCAGAATCTCTGACAGCCATGACTGTAGTACTCCTTCTAGTCTGAGTGACCATCTCCACTATCCCTACTAAATCTCCCTTTCCATATTCTCCTACTAACTCCTTCTTGCCGTTCGGATGTGTTATAACGGAACGCAGACGACCGCTGAGGACTATGAATGTGGAACCTGATTCTTCGTCCTGCCGGTAGACTGCGCGGCCTGATTCAAGGAACACCTGTGCACAGAAAATTATATTTTTTGAGTAAAGTACTGAAGATGGAGTTGTAGAGTTCAGAAATATAAATGAAAACTTCTATTTTTGTCACATATTCAATTTTATAATATAAAAATAAGAAATATTTATGAAAATACAGTGCTTTCAAACAATAATGCCTCTTCTCTATTAGTAATGAGGTAGTCCCTATTCCCATTCCCTAATCCTCCTCTCCTCCCATATCTAATCCTTCATACTCCCTTGTCGTAGACCCCAATCCCCCAATACTTCACAATATCGACAACAGTCTTCTGGTGTTACCACTCTACGCCATAAAAATACTTGTCATGAATAAAAGGTGTGACGTCATAAAAGAAACACCTTTCGCAAATTATTTGTTAAAACTCACCCAATCCAGCGCAAAGTCGACCTGCCTCACGAAAGGAGACAGTCGCCGTACGACAGTATTGGCGATGTGCAATACTACAGAGGGACGCTCCCTCATGATGCTGTACACTGTCGTCTTCGACAACAGACCGATGCGGGAGAAATGTTTCGCTCTGATAGAGAAGAAACTTGGCTCCCCTGTTAGCACTGCTAGACCGCCTTCTACTTCACCTGGAATATGAATAAAACACATTATTATTTTACTGCCTCATTGACCGAGTGGTCGAAAGTGCGAGTACCGGTCAAGGGTTTTTAAAAAACTCAGTAGTAGCACAGTCTGGAAAAGCGCCCGGTATATGGCAATAGGCTCATCCCCTATTACATGAGACTCATAACATATATATTGAAAAGTTTGTGTTCAATTGTACAGTGCCATTAAGTGCCGTAATGGGCACGTCTGCGTACCCCTTCAGGGATAAAAGGCGTGATGTTACAAATTATTATTTTACGAGTAACAGGTGTCGTTGGGATATTCGTGTTGTCTTTATTGTCCATGAATTTTTTTACTAGCAATGGCCCGCTTGTCAAGGATCGTGCGCTATTTTTCGATTTTTTCTAAGACATTTTTTATGGGTCAAGCCGGCCAACGTGAAGACTGATCACCTAATGGTAAGCAATCGACGGCGTCGCCCGTGGACACCTCAACACCAGAGGCGTTACAGGTGCGTTACCGTTTGGAACTTAGAAATTTGAGGATTTCTAAGGATTGGGGAGATTGGGGAAGGGGAAGGCGGGGTGTAATTGGGGCTCCAGTAGAGGTTACTGGAGACTCACACGACAAAACACAACGCAAGCTCACGCTGGTTTTTTGTGAGGCCGTGATATCGCTTCTGTCGAGCCGACCCATTCGTGCCGAAAAATAACTCTTCCACAATTATGTATGCAGTTACAAATATTTGTAATATACTATTATCTCACCTGGATAAGCAGTGAACATGTGCACTTCTCCTTCGCCTTCAGCTACTCTTTGAGAGACCAGCAGAGCACCAGATAACAGGTATACTAGCGCCACATCCTACAAATGAAGAACTTATAGTTAAATTCAATGTTTTACTGCAAAAATAGATCTTGTTTCATACAACAGTAGACTGTTTTTTAGTTACAACAGTTAAAAGTCTAGAACGTTTTGAATGGATTACTTAAAAAAAAAACAGAATGAACAGAAATATTAAAACATTCGTGCGTTCTGTACGGCAGTAGCAACGCGACAGTTGCCACGTCGCGGATCGCGCAATGCTGCTCATGAATATGACCCTCTAGCATGGCTTGAAACTAGTCGAGTTCCTCGTCAAATAGTTACGTGAGTAAGCCGAAAACTTAATAATTAATTTCATATTTTTGTGTCAAAAAGAGACAGGTAATCGGTTAACAATATGAATAAGCAAGACAACAGTATAAAACAGTTATTAACAACATAACACTATGGTATAGAAATAAATAGTGAATTTTTGTAAGTTGCGTGTTTTACAATGATTACAATTAACTCATTTCATAAGATTATCCTAATACCTATTGACTCAACAAAATTTTAATGGAATTGATATGCAAAAGTGTAAAAATATGATTTATCTTTTACAATTCACAATACATTTATTCCGATTTCATATTACAAAAATGTCAAAAATTCCATGGTTTTATACATGTGATCATGACAGTGATATGGTTTCCATGACATGTTGAACTGTCAATGTATCACACTAAAACCATACCTGAGAGATCTCCGGCTCGCCGGGGATACTATAATACAGCTTATGAAACGAAATTATAAAAGTAATTTAATAAGCAAGTCACAAGTTTATGAGCCCCGGTCGTAGTTTGAAACTAGTTGAGTACCCTCGAACAGTTACGTGGGTATCATTTAATTATTTTATTTTTATTTTCAGCTATGGACGTTTCACTGCCGGACAAAGGCCTCCCTACCCTCCTTGCACTCCTCTGGATGTAAAGCACCATTTCATTTGGTGCGGGTGGTGATCATCGGGGAGGTTTTAATGATGTAAGGACTCCCTAGTATTTCTCTTTAGGCACCTTTTGAAGATTAGCTCCGTCATAAAAAACCCTGGATGGTCGGGCCGAGCTATGCTCGGTGATCTATCTAGGTAACGATATTTTTTGAAAATGAAACCTAGTTAGATCCATTTATCGCCCCTGAAACTCCCTAAGTACAAAATTTTCAAGAAAATCGTTGGAACTGTTTCCGACATCGTTTATATGGGTACAAGAATTGTTCATTTAAAGGTATTAGGCAGATCCTTATATTTCTCGTGGCATAATCCCCATAGATTTAAAGACTCTTGCCATATTTTAATATAGAGAAAAAAGGCTCTCCCCTATTACATGAGACTTGTAACATAAATAGTGAAAAGTAGGTGTTAGATTGTACAGTGGCATTAAGTGCCGTAATGTGCACCTCTGCCTACCCCTCCGGGGATAAAAGGCGTGATGTTTTGTAGAAAAAATTGGTATTAGGTAAGTGATCCTACCTTATGACTCTCCTCCTTCATGATATAGGTCCCAGCCGGCAGGTCCCTAACTTGCACGTTGCCGCGTAACACTGCGTCACTGTCCAGTCCAAGTTCTTTCACGAACGCGTCCGTTGCTATTTGGATTAGGGTCTGGAAATATTAAGTATAAAAATGTTTTGTTACTTTATTTATTATTTTAAACTGTCAAACACCGAGCGGTCACCGGTGACCGCAACCTATTGTTCTGTAATTGTGTCTATAATGACGGTACTCGACGAGTTAAAAGGTTTCATGTGCACTCTAATGCCATGGGCATTCTCCTCCAGCCAGACCTCTGGCCTCCTATAACTGGCCAGGCCAGTTTGATGTAATTTTGTATTTAAATGGATTTTTTAAGGGGGGAAAATCATCGAATGACTTCTCCCGCCTGGGTGAGGCGGGAGGGAGTGTCAGACTCTTACTGACCAAAAACCACCCCGTTCCTTCTCCTGCACGTCGAGCCGGAGCCCCGGTTACCCGTTCTCCGCGACATTTAAATGGGATAGGATTTTGAAAAAAACGCTTTATAGGAATAACTCTTATAAAGTACGTTTAAAAAAACCGACTGTTTTGAAGTCAGTTAATTAATATACTAAAACCTTCTCCTAAGTGTGCAAACACTTTTCTCGAAAACTACATCAAAATCGGTTCAGCCAAACACGAGATAACCGCGCACAAACATACATATGAAAGAATTTAAATATGGGAATGAACATTCGTTATAAATTTTGATAAAGGTGCATTAACAAACAATTTAATATTGATATTACTATAGGACGCCGTTGGATGGAAGTCGCTTTCAACAGGTCGACCTGAGCGTCAATGAGGGAAGCCTTTACTCAGCAGTGAATCTTTCAATCTTAGATGGGGCCTAATATGGCTGATGCCGATACAGAGCCGTGGAAGGCCTAATGGGTTACCGGGGCTCCGGCTCAAAGTACAGAAGTAGGAACGGGGTGGTTTTTAGTCAGTAAGAGTTGTCCCTGTCGCCTCACCGGGGCGGGAGAAGTAAATGGATGTTTTCGCCCCTAAAAAAAATAACAGTGAATGTCATATGAATGATATGATAATGACTGTGGTTACCTGTTCGTCAAGGTTATCCGTATTGTGTTTCTTAAAGGAAGATCCTTCCCGAGCCCTCTGAAGAGGTGGAGTTGGCTGGACATCTGGTTGATTCTGAATGGAAAAGCAAATACTTTATGTAAAGAAATTTAAATAATAACCGTCAACGTAATTGTAGCGATAGACTACTCATTTTATTAAGTGACTATTTTCATTATACTTGCGCAAGCGCACCTATAACAACCCTACGCAGTAAGTACTACAATAATGAAAAAAAATATAGCCTCTTATTTCTACAACATGTATCAAAAGTTATTCAATGACACAAATTAAAGTCATCATCAACAGCCTATAAGTGGCCACTGCTGAGCAAAGCCTCTTCTCACACGGAGAAGGTTTGAGCATTCATCACCACGCTTGCTCAATGCTGGTTAGCGATATCAAACTTATAATTAGAAATTATAAGCCCAGGTTTCCTCACGATGTTTTCCCTCACCGTTTGAAATTAAAGTATTAAGTAAACACTACGAGGGACTCTAAACTAGGGAATAGGCTGCGCGACATCGCCGCGACCGCGCACGCTGCTCATGAGGAAGTGTCCCTCTGTGGTTCGAAACTAGTAGAGCTTTTCTCAGTATATTTACGTGAGTAACTCGTAATTTATAGTTAATTCAATATGTCTCACGACAGTTATTATATATATATATACAAATCAATACAGCAACAAACTACAATTTAATTTCTATTTATCTTTCCATCATAGTATATTTCTCACCTGCGGCGTATTGGACGCTATGTCGGGCACCATGTCAGGTTTCTGCCGGCGTCCTTGTATGTGTATGGGGGACGAGGCCGGGTGACTCGGTTCCTGACATGCATTCTGTTAGTTTATGGGAGGAAACTTGTTATTAGGGCTAGTTCACACATGTGTTAAATCCATTGCACTAACATAAAAAGGTAATTTTACGACTAATTATGGTTACTCGGTCATATTTATGTATTAAAACTTTAGTTAAAAGGGATGCAATAAGTCATAAATTGTATTCATAATTAAACAACAGTTTAGTTTAGATTTGACTAATAAAGCTTAGTAATTTCTAAAAAACCATCTCATATAGAGAGTACACACGCATATCTCACATATTATAATGCCACCATTTTGTAATTTGCATGCCTCAAAGCGTAATATTGTCGGAACTGTACATCATTTGAAAACCCAGTAATACTTTGCCCGACCCGGGAATTGGATCCGAGACCCCTTGCCCGGCAGTCGCACTTACGACCACTCGGCCAAAGAGGCAGTCTTCAGCAATTTAATACTCAAAGTTAACATTTAAAGCTTAAAATCACTCAATATCAAAAAAACACTCCATCCATAAGTATATTAGTATACAAACAACGACTGTAGTAGTAACTCACGAGATGTTCGGACATGGCTCGGTCGCTGTGGTGCGGGGAGTGCATGTTGGCGCTGCTGTCCGCCGTCGACATCTTGGCGGCCTTGCCGGGGGACGACGACACTGTGTTTGGACGACGTTTGTCGCGACCCTGGAATGTTTATTATTGATGAACACAATCGGAGGTGAGAATAATATTAGAAGAGGTATAGTTAGGATGTTTGGAAATTTCGTTTATCCCTAAATATTTAACTTAGTTAACTTATTCATTTTTTATAGGATACAACAAACAAGCAGATGCAATTGACTAAATATTTCGAGTTACACACGTAAATATACTGAGAAAAGCTCTACTAGTTTCGAGTCACAGTGGGACGGGCGACGTCGCGACCAGAAGAGTCCCTGTGTGACTCGAAACTAGTAGAACTTTTGTCAGTACTATATTTATATTTACGTAAGTAACTCGTTAGTTATAATCCAATATGTCTCACAACACGCAATCGGCGTCGCTCATGAATAACACCAATTGAACTTTAATAACTATAAAATACTTACCGGATTGACCAACTCGGCACTCAATCCTAAGTACTGATGCAGAGCTGTGAAAGTCACCCTCTGTAGACGCACCATAATGATCTGGAAATATAAATAAATAAGATTAATATTTTTCAGGTGAATTTCTAGTTCACTGACTCTTCATTAGGGCTTATATCATCATAGTTACGTTATTTCATTATAAATATTTAGGTCAAATATGATATCAACAATTTTAAAATTATATTAATGGATTATCAAAATACCTGTATAACTCGGACGAATATGTCCGGGTACTCTTTGAAGACTTCTTGGAAAGCCCTCATCGGTAACTTGATCACTTGCGAGTCCTCCAACGCCTTGGCGTTTACAGTCTTGTAGGGTTGCGAATGTCCCTGGAAATCACATAATTACAATCATATTAGAATAGAGTTTAACGTAAATAATATGTTTTTTCTGTCTTGCTGCGACAAACTCAAACATTGTTGAACAGATCTTCATACAATTTTTCCAAACAATACAATTGAGTACTTGCCAACTAGTCAAATTCAATACTTTTTCGAGCTGTCAAAAACGACAGTTTTCTATGAATTTTGTACCAGTTTCTGGATTGTGACGTCACGTTTTTTTAGCGTGAAACAGAGGCCTTAATGCGAGTTTGATTTACGTTTAAAGTATTCGAAACGAGTACGCGTTCGTCGCTGTGATTGGCCAGAACCAATGAACCAACCAATCAGAGCGCCGAACGCGTACTCGTTACGATAATACTTTAAACGTAAAACAAACTCGTACTAAGGCCTCAGTATACTTTTTTCTTGAATATTTGCTGGAAAAATACTAAAATAATTTGGTCATAAAATCAATTAATAAAAGTGTGATTAGTTTTTTAGTATTTCATTGTATTGAACCGTCAAAATGATTGATTTTTGATTAAGGAAATTACCCAATTGGCAAAATATAGACGTACTTTTAGGAAAGAACAGGTCGAAGGCGTAATATTTGTCATATTGAGAATCAGAGCCCTTCGGTGCCAGACGGCGTTCGGTGCTCTGATTGGTTTATTCATTGGAACCGGTCAATCACAGCGCCGAACGCGTACTCGTACTAAGCCTTCAGGAACTTCTTACACACTTTAATCATTTTTTTTAATACAAACATTGTACTCACAGTAAGCACGTCAGTAAAGCTGAGCAGTGACGTCACACTCTCCCCAGCGCGCACCACCTTCAGTGAGAGACTGCTGCCGTCCTGGTTCGTGATGTAGACGTTCACGCGACCGTTCTGAACTACGTATACGTTCTCGTCTGTGTCACCTGGAAATAAGGGATAGACGTTCAAAATATTTTATGATACAACATACATAACATCACGCCTTTTATCCCTGAAGGGGTAGGCAGAGGTGTATATGATACAGGTTAAGCCAATAAAAATGTTTAGATACTGTAGATTGAGGTTAGTTATGTTCTATCGATGAAGTATAAGTCTAGGAGCTGATGAAAACGGTCTTACGATACTATAAAATATACATAACATAACATCATGCCTTTTATCTACGATAGGGTAGGCAGAGGTGCACATTACGGAACGGCCACTGTAACACCCACTTTTCACTATTTATAGAGTCCCATGTAATAGGGGGTGAGCCTGTTGCCATATACCGGGAACAATTCCAGATTCTGTGCTACCACTGAGAAAAACCCAGTAATACTTTGCCCGACTCGGAATTCAACTCGAGGCTCCTTGCCCGGCAGTCAACACTTGCGACCACTCGGCCAACGAGGTAATATAATAATTAAAATAAATAGGGATTAATTCAACATACAGGGTGTAATCGAAACGCTAACAAAAGGAAATTGTTTTTACAATTTTAAACGTTTTAGTTTTCGTCTTATTCATGCAACATGATCCATGCATGTAGCAGTTGATTACAACTATTATTAGATAACCTTTTTTCATCATCACCTGTCGGCGATTTTCGGGATCGTTCCGTTAACATCCTGTATTTCCGAAAAACGTATCTCGATCTCCACAAGAAATTGACTGAACAAGAACCGATAACATTTCCCATTTACTTAGTCTGTTTCATTCTAATTCCATGGAACATCTTTAAAATACAATGAATATAGTAGATAGAATTACCATGAAAACAAGAATAGGTAACTAAATGATTTTGGCACAAATTTTCACTATCAAATTACACAAAAATACATAACTTACCAACTTTAAACAAGAAAGCACCAGCAGGCAGATTGAGGATCTCAGTATGCTTGCAAAGCATTAGGAACACGGGCTTCTCAAAGTGACCAAACACCCTGATGCTGTGTAGCATATACAGGGCATCTGGTGGGACCCTGTCATCACTCGTCAAGTCCTCCTCCAAGTACTCTGCTGGGGGCTCCAGAACCTTCACGAAAAGATGAGAAAATAGGTAAAAATAATACACCGTAATATTTATTTAGTTTTCGTCCCGCGGCAAAACTACTTGCCATAAAGAGTATTTTCGGTGTATAAAGTAAAAACAAAAATATACAGAAGCCATTTTTTTTAGTTTAGAAATTTTTCTAGAAATTGCATGCCGAAAGGTAAAATGTACTGGGTCAATTAACTTCATTCCAACTTATATGTATACCTACATTATTAGCAAATAAATGATTTCTTTCTTTCTTTCTTTCTTCTTTCATGACACACTAGATGTAAATTGACATTACAAACATCACGCCTTTTATCCCCGGAGGGTTAGGCAGAGGTGCACATTACGGCACTTAATGCCACTGTACAATGTAACACCCACTTTTCACTATTCATGTTATGATTCCGATGTAATAGTGAGCCTATTGCCATATACCGACCACATTTCCAGACTCCGTGCTACTACTAAGATTTTTACAACCCCAGTAATACTTTGCCCGACCCGGGAATCGAACCCTAGACCCCTTGCCCGGCAGTCGCACTTGCGACCACTCGGCCAATGAGAAAGTCTACGTAAATATGTAAGCACTATTCGCATCGCACGTGCCACCCGACAAGAAATCTCTCTTCTGAAGCTTGATGAAGCTACAATTTTGAACAATCCTAAAGAATAATAGCAACAAGCAAAACTTTAGTATTAAATAGATTAGTCCCAAACAAACTGCTCAATAACTGTTACCCACCTTCAGCTGTTCAGGAGCAGTTTCCTTCTTCAGCTGCAGCAGTTTCCTAGCAAACCGCATGACGGCGCGTCTCTTCCTTCCCTGACCAGAGTTGGAGATAGACTTGACTTTCCTCAACATCCTGCGTCCGTAGAACAGCATCTTGTCACGTTTTCGGAACCTTTTTACGGCATCCCCTGTTGCCCCAACACCGCCTATGACACCGGTTAATTCTGGAAAGTAGAAAGAGCGATTTGTTATGGGTATATGATCTTGGACATTTTGGAGCATTTGGAAGATTTGAATCAGTGGGTAAGGGTGGGTAAAGGTCAAGTGGGTATGAAATATGCATGCTGTAAATAAAAACCATCACATTTGTATTAGTTGACAATTTCACTGATGATGACATTGTCAGAGTCGTGTCGTCATTCGGCGACTAAGGGGGAGCAGCTGTGTGATACTCCAAATATGTGTGCGTACTGCTAAAGGAGTGGAATTCTTTACCAGAGTCTGTATTAAATTATTATGTTTTCGGCTTACTCTTAGCTTAGCATGGCTTGAAACTAATCGAGTTCCTCGTCAAATTATTACGTGAGTAAGCCGAAAACATAATTTATTTAGTGTGTCTCACGAAAGTTACAATACAGATAGAGCCTGTATTTCCTGAAGGGTATAACCTGGGTGTCTTCAAGGCCCGAGTGAATAGGTTGCTTACGGGACGACGTGTTCTATCGTAGACCGCATCATCACTTACCACCAAGCGAGATACGGGTCAAACGTCGGCCCATCAAATATAAAAAAAATATAACATCACGGCTTTAATCCCAAGAGGTAGACAGAGGTGCACATTACGGCACTTAATGCCACTGTGCAATGTAACAACCACTTTTCATTGTTTATGTTATGCATAAGTAATAGGGGGTGAAAAAAATGTGATGTAATTGTCAGATATCGATCAGAAAATACTGTTAAAATATCGTCTTTCAAGTTGGAACTTAGTGATGAACTCGAATCGATATCTCATATCTTACCTTTCGACCTCCATCTTCTGTAGTAGTAGAAAAATACTACCACTAAGGACACGAGAAGACAACCGCAGATAGACCACATCAACTGCGAACAAAAATAGCACTTATTAATATCATTCATCAAGTTCAAATTTTAAAAACATAAATTTTACACAATAAAATGGTCGTCAATGAGCAATCTAGGTTCATTTACTTCTAGACTATTATAACTAGTTCATTGTCACGTTTGTTATGAAAACGCAATTAAAGAATATGTGGGCATCGTTACGGAACCTAATAAATACGATAGAACTTCACTTTTAATTAAATTAATTAATTCTTTCTATAAAATATCACTGAAGAATAAACAAAAGATCATTTTTTTATGGCATAAACCGGTAAACGAGCAGACGGATCACCTGATGGTAAGCAATCGGCGTCGCCCATGGACACCTGAAACACCAGAGGCGTTACAACTACAAGTGCGTTACCGGTATTTTGGGGATTCGGAGTTTGAGGATTCAGAGATTGGGGAGATTGGGGAAGGGGAGGGTAATTGGGCCTCCGGTAACCTCACTCACACGACGAAACACAACGCAAGCATTGCTTCACGTCCGTTTTCTGTGAGGCCGTGGTATCACTCCGGTCGAGCCCGCCCATTCGTGCCGAAGCATGGCTTTCCCAGTTTCCCACACTTAGCATAAACAAAAGATCACTAAAGAATAAACAAAAGATATAAAATAAACTTGCACAGTTCTCCCACTTTCTTTTATTTTGTCTAGACTTTAAAAGAGACTAGCCTAAGTTTATTTCGGTGTTTCTGTTCAGAGTAGTCACATATGAAATGCCGACCTCATCTAGCTTGCGATTGACCAAAAAGGTAGTCTTTAACTTAAGTAACTCTAGTTCTTGTCTCATAGTACCTAGCCTCATATAACCACACCTGAATTCATCAGTAGTCACTATTATTGTTACTAATAGACACAAGTATACAAATCAAATATTTGTATAACAAACACATAAAAACCTTCGCACCGTCTGTTAATTTGCCAAATAAACACAGCCGGTGTCCTTTAGCACAACGTGTGGAGATTTCGTGCATTAACCATTAAAATATTAATGACAATATTGATTTATGTAGTTGCAAAATGCATGAGCATTTTCCGTCCAAAATCGAAGTAAATTCAAAAAATAAGTATACTACAGATTTTTTTTGACGTTCGAAAATCATTTTGTATTAATGTCAGTGTGATTTATGTCGGTAAAAGTGTGATTTCATTCTTTGCCTAACGATTTTCCGAGTCCAGGGATATCACGATGACCTACTAACCCAAAATTGTCGTCATTGAATTTAAAAGAAAAATGTAATAACACGAATTAACTGTAATATGCGGGTTACTCACATAAATTCTTCGAAATACCTCGACTAGTTTCAAGCCGATTCGGGATTCAAAATCATAAGCTGTGTATGTCCAGTCCAACGAATGGCGAAGTACGCAGCCAATTCTCAACTTAAAACTAGTTAATTGAACTTTTATATGTCAATCCCTAGCCATTAGTACGAAATTGTAATGGCTCAAACTGACAGGGATTATTTATTGATGTTAAGTTTGGATTGGCAATAGTAACGATTCGCCATGTTAACGGTAACTTGCAAGTGTGTCACGGTGCCGACCAAACTAGCTTTTAATGTATATTCACGTATCTGACCATTATTTCTTTATTATTGGGAAGTTTCAACATGTCATTTTTATGGGACAAGCCCGCCACAACTGCCCAAAACCGTAACTGTAAGCCAGGATCTACAGTAGATACAACCATGAAAACACCGCAACACTGAAGTCCGGCGCGTCCCAGGAACATGAATAACTGTCTTGGTTCTCGCAACGAAGTGAATCAGAAGATATTATAAGAGGAGAAGAAAAAAACCGATAGTTTCCACTTCCCTCGGTGAATTACTGTAGGAGACAGAGTGAATTAAGCCTAAAGGCACAAAAAATAATCTGAATATGTCAGACAATATTTTATTTTTAATGGAAAAGGGTTCAGACGAGCATACGGATCACCGGGTGGTAACTGATCAGTGTCGCCCATAAACACCCGCAACACCAGAGGAGTCACAAGTGTATTGCCGGCCATTTAAGAAAGAATTTAACGCAATAAACTGATCATAAGTTTAAATAATGTCTACCTAGCCGTCCAAATTGTTGATAAGAAAAAAGAAAAAAATAACAGTATACAGTATACCCTTATAAAAACAAAAACACGAAAAAATAAACAAAAACAGTGAAAACGGCGCAAAAAGGAGCGCAGCGCTCAGCTAAAATGCCGTGACCCGAGCACAATAGCTCGAGTCGCGGCACTGATTTATCAGCACTAGACAAAATATAACGCTATAGTATTAAAACTGTTAAAAACAAAAAAAGTCGAATGCAAAGCCGAATATCAAATCATAATGGTTGACAACACAAAAGACATGCTTTGCGTATGCGCGAAAATAATAAATAATACATGAAGTCCGAAGTCAACATGGAACTACACACAACACAAATACATGACTGTGTTTGTGAACTCATTCTATTACTTCCTATATTCTAAACCATATTTGAATAATGCTATCGACGTTGTTTATTTTTTTTTCATCACATACGATAAAAATGACGAGTTCGATTTTTCAATCGGACAAAGTATCACTGTCGTTTCTTCAATGTTCTTCGTAAGAATCATAGAGACTAAATACCTACTACAAAATAGAACCTGTAGATTGCTCTTCTCTTTTTATTACTCGACGGTTTGGCATAGAAAATGTACTAAAAATTATTAACAGTCTGTCCTTGTTGATTGGCATTGTCCTGGTACAAAGACCTCCAATGCGCGAACCAGACCAGTTTTTGCTACTATTTATACGAAACCTTTCGTCAAGGCTAGATCCGATATCAGAAGACTTAAGGATACCTTTAAGTATTATTATACACTAATAAAGAATAAGCACTTTTATATTCAGAGCGTCAAAGGTTTACTTATTAAATGCAATATAACTTTTCGCCATTGTGTTATTAATATCATTTCAAGGAACTATTGATATTAATCGTAATACACGGCTTACTCACGTGAGCTCATATTCGAGACATGCTTTACTAGTTTCAGGTTACACCGGGACGCATATTAACTAAAAATCGCGGGTTAAGGGCTCGTAAAACATTATAAGAACAGGGATGCATATTCGTGACTTCAGTGAGCAGTGTATTTTTGGCAAATGGGTCACGTAGTATATTGCAATTAATTTGCTAATAAGAAATTAATGTATGCAAAACCATGTAAAAGGTTGAATTAAAACGCTTGAAGAATCCCTACAAATACGTTTTATTATAAAACTAGCGACCCGCTCCGGCTTCGCACGGGTGCAATATGTATATACATACAAACCTTCCTTAAGAATCACTCTATCTATTAAAAAAAACCGCATCAAAATCCGTTGCGTAGTTTTAAAGATCTAAGCATACATACGGACATACAGCGAAAGCGACTTTGTTTTATACTATGTATTGATTATCTATACAATATCATCGTACGACCTCACGCAGCCTCTTTACATACCATTTATCAAAACCGCGATAAAACTTGTCAAACTATGCGACCTTGAGGAAATTGTTACTATTTTTGCAAAACATATTTAATTAGATAATGACATTGAACCGTTATTACGGTAGATATCACGCTTAACAATAAAGCATAGTGCTTATTACTGATATGGATCGATTTTTTTAACTTTATTTATTTATTAACGCTTCATGCACAAAGTGTACACAAGATACGTTTGTACGTTTTCTCCCATTTTTACTGTAGTAGTTTATGAGTTTCTGTCAAAAATCACACTAATATTACAAATGTCAAACTTTCTTTGTTTGTATGTTTGTCCGTCAATCATGCTGAAACTACTGAACGGATTTTGGCTGCCTTAGGTGATAGGATACTTTGTATCCCGAATAAATGCTCCCATGAGATAAAACTTGATTCTACGCGGGCAACAGCTAGGCAATCATAAATCACAGATTTTGGCCTGGGATACAATGTCTACAAAACGCCTGTTAGTTCGAAAGCTGTTCTACAATAATAAAATTCAAAATTTTAGAGGTTTAACGAAAAACATTATGTTGTAAATTACTATAACACAAACAAATCGTATTTATCTTGATATCTTGAACATAATACTATGTATCAAGTAACTGCATCGACAAGATTTCTGGATATGCGCACGCGCAACTTATAAACAAGATCGCTAACGTAATTGTAAATAGCATTTACATTACAAAACACAAGCAAGCATTTTATAAACAACTAGCGACCCGCCCCGGCTTCGCACGGGTGCAATATGTATATACATACAAACCTTCCTTAAGAATCACTCTATCTATTAAAAAAAACCGCATCATAATCCGTTGCGTAGTTTTAAAGATCTAAGCATACATACGGACATACAGCGAAAGCGACTTTGTTTTATACTATGTATTGAAGACAAATTAAATTGTAATTAAGATAGCAATAGACTATCAATTTTAATATTAATTTATTTAATTACAACAATTTCATTGTTATGCTTATCATGTTTACGAAAATATTCGATATATTTCGACCTAATTCTTAATTTTGGCCACTATCGTCAGGAAGTAGGATCAGACATGACAAAAATTTCCTTTAAAAAAAAGATAAAGTAATTAACAACAAATAATTATTAATCTATACCGTTTCTCTTGAAACATTCAGAAATGGAGAGTGCAAATAATTATTGTAAATCATAAAGGCATCGACTCACGCGATATTGTTTGTCTCCCAGTTGAGCGGTTAAAATGACGCATACGCATGCCACAAAGAACACCATAATTAATCTTTGCACATCACATAAACACTATAAAAAAATATTAGGAGCTCCCACAGATACACATAAACACACTAGATTCAAATTTATTTTTCTTTTAATTCTCCGTTAAAATTTTACACTAAAATACGTCCGTTGCAATAGACAGAATGGATCCACTAATCGTGAGTTTGTAAACACGTTTAGTCCTTGCGTGCGACTTTTCATTTTCTGTCGCAACTCTTCGCGACTGGCCGCGTTGCAACACGAGCTCTCATAGACGTTTGCGTTTCGTTTGTAGCGACTAAACAGCTGATAGTGATGTCAAATTGTGAATGAGTTTCCTGTATATTATCTACGCATTGAGTGGGTACATTGTAGTCACATTGTTGTTCAGTGAGCCTGTCCAGTGTGAATGTAGCCATATGGGGGCTTAGAGCATTAGGGGCTATGAATCTTAGCGGGGGGCCAGGGATGTTAATTTCTGGAGTAACTAAAGTCCATTAAGGATGCATTAGACCCAGATTCATCATATAACTGTAATCGACCATCAAAAGAGAAAATTCGTCAGCCTAATTAGTATCGAAAAAGATCCGTCAGAGAAGTGCAAGCACTTATGGGAGGTTTTTGTCCCTTTGTGAGTGCCTCCACTTCTGAACAAAGGCCGGCTAATGACCATGATGGTTGAGGAGGTTCTTTAATATTATTATTGTTGTTTAACGCTAACATTGTCTAACGAATGTAAATAATATGCAAGATTTGCGGACATTGCATAACAGAATAACAGCTGTAGTTGACCATGAACTATACCTAAGGACGATCATGCAGCAGTTCAGCTAGCTGTAAGATCAGGAACTGTGCACTTATCTATCAAATTGCGTAAGTACTTCATTCATATAACGTTGTTTATTACTTCAATACTGCGCAAAAAAAACTGCGAATATTTTTATGATTGATTACATAGTGAAGTACTTACGCGGTTCTTAGTAAAATGCGTAATATCTCCGATAGAAGTTATACTCAAATTTTAATCTTATGTAGCGGATTATTTAATGCCAACTGCGTGTGACATTCACTAAGAGATAATAATGTGCAATTAGGTCAAAGTTGGAACAAAGCAATGATTCACAAGTTCAGACAAAAGTGGTCTGTTTACTGCTAATGGACTTAGCGACGATACCGTTTTCAATAATACAGAACATTTAATTAATACATACTTTTAATAAATAAATAAGATATATTGTATTTTTATTTTATGAGCATTGACTATGTAGTATACAATACTCGTAAATGAACACAAAGAATATAAAATCCGTTTATGTGATTCTATAACAACTTGTTTACATTTACGAACAAACGAGTTTCTCTAACTACGAACAAAGCCATCGTAAACAATTTGCCAAGATAAACAATAAGTTTCATATGTAAATAGTATTAATTAATTACAATGGTTAATCATTAATCAGGTATGCAGTATTATAAGACCTAAAGAGACCCCATTGTAACTTAAACGTACATTATTGGCATTTGTATCCCCTATTTTCTTCCATTTATGCGCATGAGCAATCACGCCGCAGTTTTTGCGGAGGTGTGTCACAGATAAACCATAAAAACAGCTACGTAATTTATTTTCGTGTCACATTTTCTTGTTACGTAGTTCTATTCAAGGTCGAAAACACCGGAAAACTTGTGCAAATAATCAAATTCACAACGTTTACAACTCAGGGCCAGAAGAGGCCAGGTAGAGTAGATAAGAAGCTTGGTAACAATCTACAAGTACTAGAAATAAATGATTAATTATTTTGTTTAATCTATTTTATTTTGGAACAAGGCTGTATGAGTGCACATACAACCGAATGAGCCTAGTTAGATATGAAAGGATATGTTTTGCGAAAAGCAAGGACGTAATTACGTTTCTTTATTGTGATTAATTTATTTGATGTTACAGCTTGGTTCCTATTTAGTAATCTGTGTTATAAATATTAGAGATAATGTTAAGATAATTGTAATTAGCCTGACATAGTCGTTATCGAATTGGACTAAGCTTATTCTACTGACAGGCAAATTGGGATGATGAAGGGTACGAAAATTAAAAATATAATTAGTCCGTAAGTTAGGTAATGAAAAAATATTAGACACGTATTTTTTATTTTGTCGTATAATAAAACAATACTTAGATAAAACGAATCAAAGTTGAGGAGTGGGGGCTAAAACGTCATTTCTACGTATAAAATGTACATAGAAGTGACGTCACGCGACATTTCAAATCAAAAAATCGTCGAAAGTGTTCGTTTCTGTAAGAAAATAAAAAATACGTGTCTAATGATTTATAACAATCTACCAGACGGACATTAAAATAAAAATTAGGCATCTACCCTATTGTGCAAACAAAACCGGACCCTCAACTAGTCAAAAGCATCCTTCTGGAACAGAATCCTATAAAAAAACAAAAAAGTACCTAATCTACATTAGCCCTCAAGTACATTACATCTATGACGCAAATATAGTTAACTACATAAATAGAAAAATAGTTTCCATTATCTTGAAAATGCCGTGTTGACATGCGAAGTCGCGATAACATCGTCAGTAGGAAATGACTTGCCTATAAATTACTTTACATATTAAATAAACAATGTATTATGAAGATTGGACGATCACTAATAGATATTGGTTGGAGCAATTTAGTAGTTACCTACATAGATACATTTTTTATGGCATAAACCGGTAAACGATGGTAATGATCACCTGATGGTAAGTTATCGGCGCCGCCCATAGACAGTCGAAACACCAAAGCATTACAAATGCGTTACCGGTCTTTTGGGAATTTGAGGATTGTGGAGGATTCGGAGATTCGGGACACGGGGACTAGGGGATAATCGGGCCTCCGGTAACGTCACTCACACGACGAAACACAACGCAAGTGTTGTTTCACGTCGGTTTTCTGTGGTATCACTCCGGTCGAGCCGGCCCATTCGTGCCGAAACATGGCTCTCCCACACTAGTTTTATATTTCCTTTGCGATTATCTTAAGACATGATATTATTATATAAACCTATGAAAAATACGAAACTGCTCTTTCTTCTAACCTTTTTCAAAGCTGGTTTGGTTATTAGATCGTGATATGGGTGAAATTGTTTTGTAGTTTCTATAATAAAACATAACATAACATCACGCCTTTTATCCCCGAAGTGGTAAGGCAGAGGTACACATTACGGCACTTAATGCCTGTACAATGTAACACCGACTTTTCACTATTTATTTTGCGAGTCCCGCGTAGTAGGAGGTGAGCCTATTGCCATATACCGGTCGCGATTCCTGTAATATCTTGTGTTTGTATGCTGTTTTGTGTTATTTTGACATGTGGTATTAAAACAAATATATAGAACTATAGGCCCTAAAGTTAACAAGACCATTCGATATTTTACGATTCGCTATAAAACATACCTAGCTAGATTTAAATTGATCTAATACATCTTCTGCGGTAGTACAGGCAGTACTACCGCAGAAGTTCACGGAATCAAAAGTCAGAAATCGTGAGTTCAAGCCCTATCTAAACCACCTATGATGATGTTAACGAAGATTAAAATGATAGCATTTGCCAATAGTTCTAACTATTTAATCGAATAATTCTAGACATGTAAGTACGCTGACTGAGACAGACTAGATATGTAATACACAATTAGAACAGATTAATCGGCAAATCGATCATAGAACTTCATCACCCATAATTAGTAGGTACCATTACCAAGTACTTGATTTAATTATATTACTTCCGTAAACGAGATACTTAGTGATGAATACAGTAATAATGTCCGGCTTATGTATGTACATACAATTACTTGTTTTTGTATATTATGTACATTAAAATAAATTATTATTTAATTTTAATAAATAAAAGAAGTTTTTAATATTCCTGTGGTAGTGCTTTCGCTGTATGTCCGTATGTATGCTTAGATCTTTAAAACTACGCAACGGATTTTGATGCGGTTTTTTTTAATAGATAGAGTGATTCTTAAGGAAGGTTTGTATGTATATACATATTGCACCCGTGCGAAGCCGGGGCGGGTCGCTAGTAGAATATAAAATAATTACCTTATTACCTAATATGCTATACATTACGTCCTCAATCGTAGACCGCATCATCGCTTACCTTACCACCAGGCGAGATAGTGGTCAAACATCGGCCTATCAAATATATAAATAAAAAATCATTTCCTATGTGCAAATTATTCTATCAATCTACATACATAACATCACGCCTTTTATCCCCGAAGGGGTAGGCAGAGGTGCACATTATGCCACTGTACAATGTAACACCCACTTTTCACTATTTATGTTATGAGTCCCATGTAATAGGGGTTGAGCCTATTGCCATATACCGGGCACAATTCCAGACTCCGTGCTATTACTGAGATTTTTTTTAAACCCAGTAATTCTTTGCCCGTCCCGAGAATCGAACCCGAGACCCCTTGCCCGTCAGTCGCACTTGCGACCACTCGGCCATAGAGGCTTCTATCAATAAAATCTATCTATAACAATAAAATTATTTCCGCTCAGAACGATCATCGTTCATGCAAGCGGAGAATGATTCGCATTCATATTAAATGCGCCGGCTGTATTGAGCGGGTGCATTGGCCTGTGAGGGGTCATAGGCTTTGTGATGACCTCGCGAAATGCATCGTTATTGTTAGAATACTAAAGAAGTTTGATGTGGTAATATGATAAATGAATAGTTAGTTTTTTTTTATTGAATAGGAGGCAAACGAGCCGACGGATCACCTGATGGTAAGCGATCAGCGCCGCCCATAGACACCCGCAATACCAGAGGAGTAACAGGTGCGTTGCCACCCTTTTAAAAAGGAATACGCTCTTTTCTTGAAGGTTTGAATGTCGTATCGGTTCGGATATTTCGCCGACTACAGATCATTCCACAGTTTTGCTGTGTGAGGCAGAAAGCTACGTAAAAAGCGCAGAGTTGTGGCCTGCCAACCATCTTTATGGTGGGGATGCATATGCTAAAATGGATGCACATGAGACTTGACATAAGAGCCAACAATTCCTTGTTGATAACAGCACCTATTTTCTAGTTATGTTAGCTTTTAATCCAATGTAACAGAGGAGCCATTTGCAATACACAATTGATAATTATGATTCATTGCATAATTCCAAACACTGGGTAGAATTTTACAAAAACAATTTTTTTCGCTCTCTCTCTTCATTAAAATCATTGATAAGAGTCTTCAAATCTAAGGGGATTATGTCAAACTCATCGTACCATGAGAATTATTACAGAAGCGAGAAATATCAGAATCTGTCCAAACTACATACAGTAATAAATCTTGAAAAAGTATTTTCAATTAGTAAATCTTAAAAATATTTTTAAATTTGCAAAGGCAAACAATTTTAACTCTACTCAGGCAGTCTTAGTAGACGCACATTGACTGATATGCTGGACATTACAAATTATAGAACATAAAAAATAACACATGTACAAATTCATGGAAGTCTTAAGCTGACATTTAAAAATACCATAATTGTAAATTGCCACAGCACAAACATTTTTTTTAAGGGGGCAAAATCATCGAATGACATCTCCCGCCTGAGTGAGGCGGAAGGGAGTCTGACCAAAAACCACCCCGTTCCTACACCTGCGCTTCGAGACGGAGCCCCGGTAACACGTGAGGTTCACCGCGACTCCGAATCAAAAAAAAACATGGTAATAAGATGTGGTATTATTTATTACCAGCTTTTACACAGGTGTATTGCTGTTATATCCCATGGGAGAATTTAATCGGGATAAAATACCTGCCTATATACCAAATTTCATCAAAATCCGTTCAGTAGTTTCAGTGTAATTGATGGACAAACATACATAGTAAATTTGACATTTATAATATTAGTGTGACACCTGTCCTTTACACTAGTTGTCAATGTAATAAAAATCAAAAGCAAACAGCTTCAAGCTACATTAAAATATTAGAAAAACTTATATTTATAGCAGTAACTATGACTGACTCAAGATAAGCTAAATAACTTGACATGTCAATTTACATTCAATTACACAACGCTACAAAACTGCATAAAAATGAAATTACATCTGATATTGAAGTCATAACACAATGATATTACAAAAATTCTATCATAAAATGTTATGAATATTTTAATGTCCGGATGTACACTATTTCCACATATGTACATCTTATTTTTATTAAAAATGGGAATCCATGTTGGATTCCCATGGCTGCCTGGAACATATAAGATAAGAATCTGTCTGGAACATTTCTCTTGTAGTTTTTTATTATTGATTGTACACTGGCACTGGCCACTATCTCCCATGGCGATGAGCAATGAAGCGGTCATGTCATCATGACCACTTGTAATTAGGTTTATGCCACCTTTTCACAGAATTCACAAGATTATACGGAATTCACAAGACAAAGACTGGACCTGGCTATACGCTGAAGTGCTGAACCTTTTAAATTGATATTAGTTTTTTTAATGGAAGAAGGGGCAAATGGTACCGATGATGACTTGATCAATCAGCTACATCTACCACCTACTACTAAATGAGTCACAAGTGCATTGCTGGCCTTTTAAGAAGGCCTATGTTTTTTCTGACTAAAGCACAACGCTTTGGAGTTTTATTACATATTACTGGCTTGTAGTATACAATGCCGAGAAAGAGATGGTAGTCCTACATCAGCCCATCCAATGTATAAAAAAATGCTATCAAATCACTTACCTACCTATGTGTAGTACATAAGAACTTGTCTCATTACAATACCTACCTACTTTGTGTTATTACTTTGAACTTTGGACTTGTAATTCTAGTGAATAATCATTTTTTATTCCATTATTGGTAAAGTAAACTCAATGTACTAATGAATTAGGTATGAAATCGATTTTTCTTATCTATTTTGTCTATTCATTGGTATACTTATCAGCATGATTTTTATTATTTAAAACCTTATTTAGTGGAAGATTAGCGAATATTTTCTTTTTAGTTATTTTGTAACTTGTACTAAATAGAGTTAACAGTTACTTAATAAAATATATATTTTTATACCTCTTTAAACTGTCAAACACCAAGCGGTCACCGGTGACCGCAACCTATTGTTCTATATTCTAAGGAGGAGGCGGGACGCGTGAGGCAGCGAAGCGCTGCCTCCTCGCAACCCAGCCATCGCGAAGGACACACCGGGCGTCGGGGATCGCGGGACGATCTCCGGCCACCGTAAGCGCGGGCCTGCGGACGGCGAGCATGGGTGGCTCCCCGTCCGACCAGAAACAGACCCGAGCGTACGGCGCGTCGCGTTCCGCGCGCGCCTCAAAGAGCCATCAGACCACAGATGGGGCCCAATAGGGCCGATGCCGATTCGGAGTCGCGGAGAACCTAACGGGTAACCGGGGCTCCGGCTCGACGTGCAGGAGAAGGAACGGGGTGGTTTTTAGTCAGTAAGAGTCTGACACTCCCTCCCGCCTCACCCAGGCGGGGGCAGTCATTCGATGATTTTCCCCCCTTAAAAAAAAAAAAAAAAAAATTGTTCTATATTATGTCTATAATGACGGTACTCGACGAGTTAAGATTCTAATTATACCTCTTATTTCCAAAAAGACTGCATAAAATTTAATAATTTTAATTAAAAATGTATGAGAGCAAAGTAGGTTGTTTTACTTGATTATATATTTTTCTGAGTATAAAAAGCATAAGAGAATTAAGAGGCCATGATCTTTCTCATTATTTTTTCTTCACTAATGGAATCTATTTGCTAATTATAGTGACTTAATGATTGACTATTTGCTAATAGTAATGACTGATTGACTATTTAGTAATTTCGCCATTCTAATTAGACTCTAAATATTGGAAATTAAATACTATTGCTTATGTATTTTATATATTTTACTAACAATTATGAACAAAGGTAACTATAACAGAATCTTAAAATTACCTACCAAAAATTAAGGTGCCTCAAATTTTAATCCAGCCAAATATAGATAGTTAGCTCAAAATAGGTTCTTTACGAATTAGAAATAGTTTTCAAGATCGAAATCTTTAACTAATTGATAACCGGAATATTTGTCAATCTATTCTTACATCGAATGCGATAACATTGGTCTCAAGGATACCGATTTCTATTATTACAATTCTGTACCCTTGTCCCCTAACAATACACTTCCGGATTTATATCAAAAACACATCAACACAAAATTAACACATTTTAACACATACTTCCCACGATTTAACGAAATAAGACAAACTGTAAACCGAATAATCAATACTTACTTGGTTGTCTTGAAAATTGTTCGACCACTCGGACGTCCATGTTTTCACAGCAAACATGTTCGAATTATCGTTTATATTGTTCAAAAGCCCTACTACGTCCATTTTCGTTAATAATATCGATTTTTATTCAAATTAATTCGAGAAATTCATCGCTATTCTCTGAAACTATCAGCTGTTTGACAAATAAATAACAAAAAGTGGAGTGGAGGGGAACGGGGTGCAATACTATAGACAAATGGTATTAAAGTGAATGGATGGAATGATATTACACACAGCTTCTATTCTCCAACGCTTTGTCTTTGATCTCATCCACATCCTGATTGGCCATTTGCCTTCCCTTTTTCCATACAAATAATGTAATATAATCTGTATTCTTACTATTCATTCATTTAATCGTTCAATCAATGAGCCATGAAATGAATGCAATGAACAGAAACATACCGACGTGAACTTCGTTCAAGTCACTTCTCTCTCTCACATCTTTCTCTCTCTCTTTCCTTCGTGTTTGTTTCGTTCATTCGTTCGGTTATCGCGGTGAGGGCGAGGGCCGAAGTGCTTTCATTTCGATTTCCGTCATTTAAAATTCATTCCGTTCCGGACGTTCGTCGAAGAAGGTCGAGAGTTAGTCGAATTAAAATCAGTCCTTAAATAAAGTGGTTCTTTATAACTATCATTGTCAATAAACCAGTGTTATAATCAAAGTAAGTGGTAGTTTTAAGTGGAATTACGAAACTAACAATGATATAAGTGCAGTGATGTTAACAAAATGGCGTCGAATAAAATATTACACGTTGCTTTTCTATTTTCCAGATGTCTCGCTACCGAGAATGGGACCTTTCTTGCAAAGTTTATGTCGGCAATCTTGGAACAAATGCGTCTAAATATGAAATAGAAAAAGTATTCTCGAAATACGGAAACATTAGGAATGTGTGGGTGGCGAGGAATCCACCAGGATTTGCGTTTGTAGAATTTGAAGACCCACGTGATGCTGAAGATTCCGTACGAGGGTTGGATGGCACGTAAGTAGTACACAATCAATTAATATTCATAATTTTGTTCCATTATTTGTCCATTTGTGCCGCTTTTGTAATCCTGGCCGAGCCGAAGTTCATCCGCCATTTTAGTTTCACTTGACCCACTTCATGATGCTTCGGAACACTTGTAGACATAGTTCGTATGTATTTTGTGTAAATCGAATAGTATTTTTCTTGATAAAAGTATAGAAGATTGAAGTATTTAAAGGATTCATAATAATACCACGCAAAGGAAGACTGGTCGCTTTCAGAAGAAATACCATCTGCGTGGTATTTTTTCTGAAAAGTAAATCTTTCATCTAACTTTAATGTTTTTATATATTTTTCGTTAAGATATTGTGGTACCAAAACTGTTATTTATCCATTCTACAACAGAATGCCTATTTCGCGTGACCTCGGTGAATAAACGATAGCATTACGGTCATGGCGGCGACTGCCGATCAATAGATCGCGAGTTCAAACCTCTGTACCAACGGTTACTCTGCACGCTCCTTAGATCCGTTCCACCTTCAATGTGAAACGCTTGAGTCATAAGTGTGCTAGATCACGATACCTCCAAGCTGAGACTGAGATGTGATATCCTCTAAATGAAATACCACTTGTCTTGGAATGGGGAACATTTATATTTTAGTCCTAAAATCACTTTCAATGTTCTTTTTGAGTATTTCTGCTTCAACAAACTGCGAATTTCTAATAAATATCAGAACTAGGAACTAGATCTTTTGTAAATGCTTAACACAACAAAATTATTGTTAATTTTACGATTGGTTCAACGAAGTATGCAGGTACCTACCTAATTAAAAAGTACCTTACCACAAGTTTGTTGGTTTTAATGTCTAGAAGTTTTATATCGGCAATTAATTACCGCATGTTGTAATAATTTGTTTTACATAGCCATTGATAACTATACTACTGTTTTTCCGTCAAATTATCGACGGTTAAATTGAATTAGTGGCTTTTTGGCCACTGGGCCAATCGTCGAGCTGTATTTTGTAATTGACTAAGGAGTAATGACACACATTTTGTTTTCTTTATCGAGTTTCGTAGGTCCTAATTTCTTTATTTTTGTTTTTATTATAGGCGATGCTGTGGCACTCGCATCCGTGTTGAAATGTCTAATGGCCGCACAAGAAGGGATCGCCGATACTCCAGGTATGTCACATAGTAATTTAATCAGTTGTTAGAATAGTTACCATTATTTACCTAAACGAAAAGAAGGGGAACATCTAATAACATTTTCATGAGAGTGAAAATGATTGCATCCTTAAAACCAAAATGAAAAAAGGATAATGCTATACCTTCCTTAGTAACTGTCCAGACATGTAATCTTAATGGGATGGGACAAGATTCAAATTGAAAATCCATTAGTTATCACCATTAACAACTAAGTACCTCATTATTTACTTCGTTAGTCTAAGTTGCAGTTAGCAATTGGACTTAATTACATGATTTGCTTGCTTTTGAAGAAACAAAATGCTGTTATATTAATCAAAGACAAGTAGTTAAGTAAGTACGTTGATCTGGAGATATTAAAAGTGGTGGGTGTTGGAACGTTTACAGGTCCATTTTATCAACCAACCACCAACACACCAACGACCTCACCACATGTCTTCACCACAACTACGGCTCGTTAACCAATCTGACATCCGCGAACGCCGCTCGCAACAACATCCCGCTCAACTTCTGCGATCGGCTCTCCAAACTTCTGCGCGCAGCCGACGTCTCCAACATCTGCGTCCCTATAACTTACCTCCTGACCGCCATCACCTAGTCCCCAACCGTAATCCGAACCTGGACTTGAATATAATGCATTATAGAGAGCCACACAGTGTAGGATCCTACAAATATCCTGAATGTCATTGCAACTCCTAATGCTTCACCGACTGCACACACTCGTCGTCACCGTGGCACCGAGCTAGAAATACAACCTAACGGCGATCAACTTCCCCGTGTTACCGCAATTTTTCTTGAAACTTCCAATTAATGCCACCGTTCGACGGAAGATAACATTGAAACTCGCCTCCGCCTCAGTAATATCCCTTCGGCCTCACAGCAGCCCCACAACGGTCAACCTTCGCAGGCTCACCATGTCTCGGTACTTTTTAAATCCTATACTTAGAACCTTACCTTGCCTAAACTTAGAATTAGAGAAGTCGTGTTGGCGTTTGAGGTGTAGGTAACTAGGGATTTATGTAATGTAGACAGTAATTAAATGGGCCCCCTACTTTCAAAATATTATCTACTGAAATTATACATGAGTACACAGAAGAGATGTCGAGTCATTGAAGCGGTGAATAACTGAAATTTATTCATGCAGAAGGACCTTAAAATTACAATCAAGTCGAGCGCTGTTCTGTAAATTGCCCTGAGGTGTAGATGTTGCACTGTGTTTACGTTATGCTCAAGAATTGGACGCATCATAATATTGTTTATGTTGATAGATCCCGCAGTCGCAGTCCACGAAGGCGTTCGTATTCGCGAGGCAGATCGGGGTCGCCGCGCCGTTCCCCATCGGTCCGTCGCCGCTCGCCCTCCGTACGACGCTCACGATCACGCGACCGTCGCAGCCGCTCTGACAGCAAGAGCAGGTAGGTATGTAGACCCCACGGATTCAGATATTTTTTACCATGTCACAGTGGGATTAACCGCAACTTTTTTATATTTAGTGAATACTTACTCATTTTTTCTTTTCTATTTTCAGACATTGAAGATATAATGGCTTCTAAAGAAAAACTTGGACAAAAATTCTGTAATATAAGTGATGTGATGTGAATAGAGCGATTGTGTGTATGAATCCAGTAGGCTACTACAACTGTATTTTTAATCCTTTATGGTACAAGCAGCTTCTGTCTATTGTAGTTATAATTCGCTGTAAGGTTGTATAGATTTACTCCAAGTAGATGGGTGTTTGTTCTTAAAAATTACGTTCTCTCAAATTATTGAGATCAGTGGTCTAATCCAAGCTATGTCTGAGGTTTTTATACCTTGGTTACAGTACATATCTTCTGGGAAACCATAATCAGGTCCTGAGGGAGATATTACATTTAAATTGCAACTGCCACTTTTAAACTGGTTTACATCTTGTAGCAAATTAACATGGCTGACAACTGACTATTTTCAAACATAAAAAGGTTTGCTTCACAGTGATGATGCTAATAATAACCTTATATCATGCTAAAGTTTTGCGAATAAACACCCAAATGCCTTACAAAGTTGTATAATTTTTCTTTTGTAAGAATCAACACATATACTAGATACACATAGTTACAAATATTAAATTAAGACAACTAAATAAATGTGGAAATTATATATCGAAATTTTTTTATTCTCCTTTCCTAAATTATACAAATTAAGTATACCAAAACATTTATTTATATAGATATGTATATAACAAATACTTCTGATCATTACATGTAATTATAATTTAGAGATCTACAAACACTATAATCTCCTAAAACGTAAAAGATCTAAAAGCCACAACAATGACTCATTTTCATCACTACAATAATAATAAATTCGGCAGGAATGTTAAGAATTCAGTTCACAAATCACATAGGTAATAAATATTACTCGGTCTTCATACTTACTGGTCTTTGCCGTCTAGCGGAGAAGAAGTTGAAATATACACAAGTCCCAATAGCAACTAACATAGTTCCTATAACATGATAAATGTTCAAATTATTTTTGAACACAATTGTAGAGATCAATAAAGAAGCGAACTTTCTTAGAGTTAGTATGAATGTAACTGTAACTGAAGTTTCTTTGGTAGCTAGTTCGTGCACTGAATGTGTACAATAGAACTGAGAAAGTATATTGAGAGCTATCAGTACCCATGCGGCGAACGGCAGGATTGTTGCAGTACTCAGCAATTGAGGTGTGAGTCCGAAAAACACGGGTAATGGAATTGCATGGGTATAAAACAGCATCTGTAAAAGAAATTGTACATTTTCAAAACTGATTTTTAGAACGCTTATAATGGATTTGTTAACTGATTGCTTGATAAAAGTAATGATCACTTTAGACTCGCCGTAATTTGATTCTGTAAAATGTCAACATAATCATGGCTAGAAAATGTGATGGAAATGTCAATCAAATCAGTTGTAACAAATATTTTAGGTAAAACTTGCTCTTGCTATTTCTGTCACTATGAATATATTTTTCTTAAAAATATGTATTTGTAATGTAATGGTAGCTTGGTACCTATTGTATTATTCTTTTACAAATTAACAATGGCTGCTGACATTCACTGAATTAAATTAAAAGTAAAGTTAAGTACTTTTTCTTTTGAATTTAACAAATTGTATTTTTTCAATGTTGTGCGGACATGGGAATTGACATGGAATCTTTTTAAATTGTGTTTGCAGTTGTAATGATCAGAATGAACAAAAAGAATTCATAGCAATTACTCAGTAGTTTTGTTATTTTCATTTGTAGATTAGGTTTAAGTTATCTAAAAATATACTCATCATCTTAACCACTTGTTTTATTTATGCAAAACATTTTAGAAATAATTTTTATATCTTTATTTGCAATTAGTAAAATATACAGTTAATAAAGATAACAAAGTACCCATTATGTGATAAATTGATAAGCTGCCTACATAACACAATAAAAAGTTATACACAAATATTACTTATCAAACTTATTAGTTTATTTTTCTTTGAAATCACAACTCATATTGAGTGACTCAAGTAATATGAAATTCGCTTTCAATAATTCAATATAGAACTTCTATGATATTGACATGTATTTGTGTAGCTTTTTATTTAAGGAGGGAATATCATTCAATGATTTATCCCGCCTCGGGCGAGGTGTAAAAGTGTCTGTCTGAATAAGTAGCACACAGCCTTAGCATAATGATACAAAAAAAAAGAAATACGGCAATGTTACCTCATTAGGATGTTTTCCATATCTGGAATACAGTCTTTCTTGTTGCAAGCCAGTGAAAGCACCAGTTATCAATGTCACCAAGAGTATGGTGACTCCTATACACCAATAAAGAAAGGTGCCTTTGTTCTCCTCATCTGTAGGAGCTCCGCCATACATGGCCAGAGCCACTCCAGCACTGATTAGTATAGAACCAATGGCATTGTTTAGCTTTGGTAGTTGTTTTTTAACACAGCAGTAGACTAGCATGCTAGCGGGTGATGATGCTGACCTGGAAAACAATTAGTTACTTTATAAATGTCTCATATCAATATTCAATAATAAATAATAATTGTTGTCATAGAGGCAAGTTTCAAGACATCCTTTTGGATATAAGCCAACCACAATAGCTTGCAGATCGGCCAGTTGGAAGTGACCTGTTTCCAGCAGCTCACTGACATTGTTATTAGAACACCAATTCACCTTTTGGCTGGATAACCTGCTGTGATGGCTTTCATCACAGTATTTGATATTTTTGCTTGAGTAGCCTTATATTATTTTTTAATCATAAAAGTACCTACCGTATAATCATATGCAGTGTGGAAGGCACATGCAGGGCATATACATAGTTATTAGCCACAGTAGTCACGAAGAAAAGAGTGACTAGTAACACATACTGGCTAATTGGTATCTTTGGACCTACCTGAAAAGATAATAAGGTTCATATTGGTGGAATTAATAACATAAATATGTTATATATAAATATGCTAAGCAAAATTGCTTAGTAGCAAGTTGGTCAGTGGTTTTAAAAAGTAGGAATTTAAATCTCTATCCAATAATCTTTTAAAGATGTCAATAAAAATTAAGGTTTTAACTATTTAATTTCAAAACTGGAACAATTATTTCTAATTGACATTAGTTTGATTATAAATAAAGTCAAGCTAGACTAAGTTAAATTAGAAGGAAAATAACACAATTAAATAGGTACCTACGAATGCATAACTGACGCAATTATTTCAGTGTAAAATGACTCACCGTTCCCCATTTTGTAGTGACTATAAATCCTTGCAGGGATATAAAGAAAAATTGTAAATAAGTTACTAAATTCGCACTGTTCGGCCAATTTGCCATAAGAATTTCCATGAGAAAAGCGCTGGCGCAACATCCCACGAACACATTTATGGTGGTATTCGAGACCCGCATGATTAATATTCTATTTTATCACTTGTTTAAATTATAGTTGAAAATTTCTTATAAGAATTACATTGGAAAGGTTGTAAAAAAAACTTATTCCCGAGCTTTATATTTTTCCCGGCGCCCGCGCACATAACTTGACACAAAACAAATAATAATGGTTAAGTTTGACAGTGACATTTAAAGTTCAAGTTACAAGTGACGTATAATTCTACCGTACCGTCATTTTATTGGTAGGTTTTCATAAAAATCCTTCTCCATTAAGCATAAGGTCTATTTTCCTTTGATTTTCTTTATTTGTTATCAAATAGAGCCTTACGTGTTTTTGGAAAAATATAGGTCGGTTGTGCCTGAAGTCACGTACATTTGTCAAAAAGTCATTGGCTTATGAAAGAGTTGCCAAGTACCTATAGCATTAAGGTCATATTCATTTTAATTAATATTTGGTTTAAGGTATTATAAAAATGAAAGTGTTTTTCATTACGTAAGTACTTAAACTACACGATACGTAATCATTATAAAATCGATTGAGTCCCACAGGGTTGCCATAGGTACGATACTAACAAGTAGCGACCTCAATTTATTCCAAACTCTTTGTTGCCAAGTTGTACGTTGTACTTTTTATTTACTATTGCTTTTATGACTGTAGCGTTAAGTGTCGTAATGTAATTACGGGTGATTATTTCAATAAATAAAACTTTAACTATAAATATTAAGTCGTCGTTATCTATGTAAACCTCAACTTGAACATAAACTGCGTGTCTCCTGTATACTAAATAAACAATAATTGTTAATTTTATTGGTACATTTAAAAAGAAAAATAATTACGATTTGGAAATTAGAGCTCATAGTCACTTGAATGTGGAGAATGGAGTGGAATTTTGACTGAATACGCTGGCAATACTATAATTTACAAGAGTTGCCAAGTTTTTAAACATTAAGTAGAATGGTAGATTAAGCCCAAAATTAAAATAATTTCTCCGTTAAAAGTTGATTAGTACTTTTGACGAAAAAGACACTGCACCATGCGTGTGCGGTGTGTTTGTGGATCACACATTGAGGTTGTTCCGACTTCATAGTTGTTGTCTGTGAATGTTCCATCTATTAAATTCCAATACTTACTAGAAAAGCTATTATGGACTTATGGTCGTAGTCTTTTGGGAGAAAAAGCCTTAAGGGAATTAATATGTAATAAGTAGTAATACTGACATTTAACAAAATAGGTACCTGTGATGGGAAAGATCTGTCTCTAAAGTGGAGGGCCATTAATTCAGAACAAATGTTCTAATTTAAGTAAGTGTACCACCTTGCGTAATTAATTTACATCACTCATAAGTACATTTAAGTGATGTGATGGGTGGGTATAAGTTCCAAGTAAAGTAGGTAATTATACTGCCTAACTTCAAACTACTTAGGTTCCTATGTGTTGTGTTCCTACCTACTTTCAATAGGTACAATTTCATTAATATTGTGAGTAGGTAGATTAGTTTAGAATTTTAGATATTCGAGGGCGTATCAAAACTGTCCAATTAAAGATTCTATTAATAGTCACGACATGATTGTATTTTTATGATATAAAAATATCATTATGTAGGTAGAGAAGTATGTAATTAGGAAGTCGGAGTTCAGTTTTAGGATATTTTTGTTAAAAGGTAAATAACATGAAGGTCGATTTGCTCTCGATGTTGAAGTCGTGCAGAAACAAAATAAACAATGCTGTTATCACCTCCACACTAGGCTGTAACCGGGTAGTACAGATGCGTTTTAAAATTTCAATTGTTTAATAAAAACCAACGACATTTTCAAACGATCGAACTAAGAAACGTCCTCCTTTTTTGAAGTCGGTTAAAATTACAAAAAACCTAGGTAGGTATTCGGAGAAAACTGACCAACATATTGAAAGAAGGGAATCGTTAGTACCTACATCTATAAAATAAATGATCCCAGGATTACTTCTACCTATGTATCTATGAGGAAATCGCTTGCTATGAACTCTGCGCAGTTATATGGGTTCCTAAATACCTAGGCACTAAGCACTTATAACTGGATATTCTGTTATGGCAGCAATGGGGATCGTATCGAACACGACTGCCGCGTCGCAACAACGTCAGTCGTTCTCGTAGGTAATGGCGAACCGCCCAAACAAGCTTCGCGCCACAGCCGCGGATACCGGCCGAGTTGGTTGATCAACTATCAAGTCCGCCTCGCCGCGCACGCTCGTACGGACGTGTCGTGTTCTCGCGCCAAAATGGTCGCCTCACTCCGATTTCACGCATCGAACGCTTAAACTTTTCTTCGATCGCTTTTTTAACTTTAACTGTTATTTATTACAAATCAACAGTTTTTAGTGGTGTGAGTGTTAACAAATGTGATATAGTGACTGGTGATTGTATTTTACAGTTGTTTTTAATACAAATTAAATGCACAATGCAAACGGTTATTGTTTTTGAGTTGTCAAGTGTGTACGAAATTGCACAGTTGGGAAAATGTTGAGAGAATACCTATTCCTAGTGTTCTGTATGCTAGTGACACTAATATTCCCATCAGGTAAGATAGTTTTATAATTATTCCGATATTTAAAATGACCTTCGTATTTGAATAAGTTATTTTATTACAACCAGTTTTGCAAAATATGTTTTGTTAAATTTTTAATTCGACTTACTATGAGGTGATCCTTTATCAGGTAGATCACGTGTCGAGGTAGCTGGGGCACCCGGTGCATGAATAATTTTCTTATCAGTTGAAAATTCACCTTTTAGTAGCTGAGTGCGAATTCTCTCCGAAATAGTGTAGGTACTTTGTAAACTGCCATTAAATTCAATGTATGTACCTACTCATTATAAAATTAGGTAAGTAAGTAGATAGGTACTTACATGCCACATAATTGCCGACCTGCCTGCAACAGAGCGTGACGTCTTTATTTCCTTCGTAGCCTTGCTAAATTTAATTAATTCCATTACAGTTCACGTCGTAGAAAATACTTGTTTACTGATAAGTAACTGGATGCGTAACTGCATTATGAGGTGAAAGAAACGTTAATTTATAGGTAAAAACGTTAAATCCATACTTCATCATCATCAACCTCCTGGACAACCTCTCCCTTGCCATCTAACCACAGCCAGGCTCTTTGCGGATATCGTTAATCCACCTAGCTACGCGGAGGGCGCCCTACACACTACGTTTGTTTAGACGCGGCCTCCACTCACGAACACGTCTTTCCCAACGCCCAACTTGCTAATAATTTTTTATTTTATACTTAACTCACTACTAAAATGAAAATTTTATTCACATTGTTGTCTCATTTTTACTTTATTGGAAGGGATAAAACGTACGAAAACTAATTTACAAGCATAAAACAAACATGTGAAAATTACCTGGATTAAGTGCCTAAGCACATAGGCAAAAACCGAGTAAACAGCACATGACGAAAACGAACACGACAGTACCTACATTTAAGCCTCTGTCGTACGAAGTCATTGAACAGCTGAGAAGATATCACCTTAATTTACACCTAGTTACCGCAAATGTGCCGCACAAAGATGCGATGAGTGGTGACGATACAGTAGAATGGAATAATCTAACTATTCTTATAAAGGTACTACAGATACAACAGATATGGGGCAGCAACGCTCCCCGAATTTATCTGAACCTTTTAAATTATGATCTCCAACCCTGCTGCCAGAAGTGGAATTTATGGCAAATTGGGTAAACCTTCTTTTGTAGAGGAGACTCATAGCAGTTAGCACTTTAGCAGTGAACTCGGAACTGTCACAACCGACAATGATGATGATGATTTCTTTGATTTCATCTTCTTAACACTGGAAACTAAGAGTTCAGGTTGATCATGTTTACAGTCTACGAGTCTAAGTACATGATAAATATTATTGAGATCACATTATGCATGGAGATAATTGTATAATTGATACAAGGAAAACCCATTGTTTGTTAGCAAACGGGATGAGAAGTATGTTAGAAAAACAGTGCGAAGGTCAAAACTATAAAAAAGATATTGCAAAGGTCTGTACTAAAAGTTAACGATATACAGTTTAGAATACTTACCTTTATTACCGATTAAGTTGTGGAGCTGATAATACCTTCATCATCAATGTCTTCTCCCGTCTCGCCTAGAGGGGGAGTGTCAGAATCTTAATGACTAAAAACCGCTCCGTTCCTACTCCTGCTCTTCGAGCCGAAACCCCGGCAACCGCCTTCTGCGGTTCCGTATCGGGCGTCAGCCCTACTGGGCGCCATCTGTGGTGGTCTGATGGTTCTTTGAGGCGAGTGCGGAACGCAACGTGCCGTACGCACGGTACAGCCCACAGCTGCACTAGGGCTACCTACATGAAAAAGAAAGAAAGACCCAACACGGCAATTCACGCTACCGTGGAGAAGATGTAAAATAACTAACCACTTAAGTAAATTGATTGGCTATTGCAAAATACAAATGACACTAAAACTAGTTACGAATGATAATTTGAAGTGACGTGGACTGTGTGCAGACTCGTGGAAGACAAACATTACTACTATAAAAAAAACTATAAATGTAAAAATAGACCCAAGTTATTAGTATTTTGATCACGTCCCACAATTTATTGTCAGCTACCACATTTTGTGCAAAGATTGATTCAAGTACGGTACGTAATCGTATCGTGTTAAACATTTCGACATTTCGTAGTCGTGTTCAATTAAACAAATTATAACGTTCATAGAACCTCGAGGATATCACAAATTCACAAAGAATTCATCAATCGATCATAGGTTATTGGATTTCTATTAGCCGCCGGAAAACGGCAATCTACCAGTTGTCGGACTTTGATCAATGATATAAGTACCTTATTCGCAAAAGTTGATGTTTTCCAAAAATATTTCTGTTGATGTTGGGTACGATTCTAGAGGGGTTTTCAATGGCATCGCTAACAAAAGTGACAAGCCGTGTTAGAAACAAATGAACTCATCACGCCCAGGGCCAGTGCTACGCGCCAAATGGCACGAAGGAACGTAATAATATCTAAAATAGATGTCGTCAATTATTTGCTTAAACGTCATCAAGCAAGCGGTGGAAGTAAACAGATGAAAACGTTGAAAATCTTTAAAGATACATGTTTACTAATGCTGAACTAAAACATCGATATCGTATACTA